AGAAAGAACTGAGCCGGAAAACAAAGCTCTCGATCTATTGGTCCATCTTCGTCCCTACCCTTACCTATGGTCATGAGCTATAGGTTGAGGTGGTTTGGACATCTGGTGCGGATGCCTCCTGGGCGGCTACCCGGAGAGGTTTTCCGTGCATGTCCTACAGGGAGGAGGCCCCGGGGCAGGCCCAGGACTCGCTGGAGGGATTATATCTCTCGGCTGGCCTGGGAACGCCTCGGTGTACCCCCCGAGGAGCTGGTGGGGTTAGCTGGGGAGAGGGAGGTCTGGGTGCCTCTACTGAAGCTGCTACCCCCGCGACCCGAACCCCGGACAAGCGGCAGATGATGGATGGATGGATGGATAGTTACAGTAATTATTTACTTATTCAGTGACAGTAGTGACATTTACTTATCATAGACTCGTATCTGCTATTTTCAAATATAATATTTCCCGCTTACGATGGGATCATCAAAATGTAACTCCGTCATAAGTTGAGGAGCACCTGCATAATGTTACTCTTCAAGGTGACCTTGTCTTGTTCTATCTGCTGTTCCCCAAGGTCACTCACTGGCACCTTATTCTTCTTCTGTCAGTTCCTCTCTATGCAAGAACTATGTTGTTCTGTTTCCCCGCAGGAAAGAATGCAGGCATGGATGGTTTCGGTGAAATTCGCCTTTGACAAGCGGGCCCACCGGCTCACCAGCAGCATTAACTCAGACGGCCTCCTCAAAATGTTCAACATGGGCACGGACCTCACCAAACCGTTTGAGTACCTCATGGCCACGGGCAACCTCGTCTCGAAGTCCGGTGAGGACGGCCGCACTGAATTGGCTCTGCAGAAAGTCGGCTTATGTTTTGATTGAAGTTCTTGCACTTTGTCAACGTAAAAACGATCATTTTAATTGTGCTGTGGTGTCATTCAGGTATTCTGGGCTGGGGCTGCGAAAGAATCGGAATGATTTATTTAGCTCAAATTTTGACAACTCTGCTCCTAGCTAGAGAACCCTTGGACAGATTAGGTCTCCCGGTGCTGTGAGGTTTTAAAAACGTTTTGTACTATTTGCCGTTTATAGAAGCCAGATTGTTTCCTACTTGTTTTTTTTTTTTACTGTCCGACTTCTAATCTCAGCGAATTTCGGCCATCTCTACCCGCTGGCCATGTAAGCCCCTATTCCGGGACGGTCTGATTGGTTGTTGCCACCTGTCCTTGCTGACCTCCTCCTCCGCGTCTCTGTGCTCTCCCTAGGTTTGGGCTTAATGCAGAGCTCCGGCCTGACCGTCGTGGCTGACAAGCTGAACTTTGTCCGCTACCTGTCCCACTTCCGCTGCGTGCACAGGGGTGCCGCATTTGCCAAGATGCGGACCACGTCAGTCCGCCGGCTCCTGCCCGAGTCCTGGGGCTTCCTGTGCCCCGTGCACACCCCGGACGGGGAGCCCTGTGGCCTCATGAACCACATGACGGCCCACTGTGAGATCGTGAACACCGTCCACCCGACGGTGAGCCTGCCGGCTCTGCTCTGCTCCCTCGGTGAGTGGTGGGGGGCTTCGACGCCACGTTAGCTGGAGAAACTACTTTAGCAGGTGCTGTAATGCTTTCAACAACCTCATCAAATGAACGTCTTTCACTGTGCCCGGTATTTGGGGCTGTATTACAGAAACCTGACCTGCAGCTCCTATTGTAACTGTTTGGTAACCATGGTAACTAGGGTTAGGACCTGATTTGGGAAAAAGCCATTACGGATGAACAGTTCCTATGTTCCTAAATTAAGATGGGAAAATGTATTAGCTAAACTTATTTAATCCCTATGGCTGCTCTTTTATTGCTTTTTCACAACCAACAAAATGACAACAGGTGGAACTTCTTCATTGAGAGGCTTTTGACAAACTCTGATGATGCATTGCTGTTTGATGACAAAACACTAGTTAGTAGATGCAGGCTACACTGGATGATGATCCTGCAAATAGCCGAGCGACCGTAGTACCAATAGCAGCTTTGGAGAGCTTCTCCCGGTTGGGCTGCAACTGACAAGTGTGTTTCATGTTTTTTTTACTAGATTTCCAAAGTGAAGTGACCGACATGGCAAAAATATCTCAGCCCTCTATGTCACGCAATTTAAAGGAGGTAGCAACAGTGATTAGTAAATTAGCTGCTCGTTACATACAGGTTCCAAAAGGAGAACTCCCTATAATCAAGCAAGCTTTCTACCTCGACTATCACATACCTGGTGCAATTGGACTTGTACCTCCAAGCATTGCTGTAAATTTCCCAAAAAGAACATTTTTGGATTTTTCTCGGTTCAAACTCATCTGTCTTGAAGTTTAGTGCCCATCATCATTTTTGTTTTTTGTTTTTTTATATGTGAGAAAATCTTAATGTCAGTGGGTTACAGGGTAGCTGTGTGAGAAAAGTAGCGTTGGTTGCCAGGTAGCAGACATGAAAGTTGATGTTAAACTGAGTATTTAGGATTTTCTTACAACCTGACATAAGATAGGATGAAGATACGACAGGATTTTCCCCAGTTTGGCATTCCAGAAGCAACTAACTTTGATACTCTCCCTGTCTTAAGACTTAAAGGAAGTTTCTGTAACACGACCCCTGAACTGCAAGTCCACTCTTTCTGGAAAGTCACTTAATATGAAAATAACTCTGGAGGTAGTGGTGAAACCCTCTGTGTGCAAAATTTACATGCCCCCCCCCCCACCCCCAAGCTGGTCAGGTTTCCTCCCACATTCCTCATATATGCTGTTAATCAAATTGGCATCTATAGATTAGCTATGGAATGTGTCTGTGTGCGCCCCCTGCAGTCAGCTGGTGTTCTGTCATAATATTCCCTGTTACCGGATTGACTCCAGGCTCTATGCAAACTCAAACTGGATAACTTTGCCTTGGAAGATAGATGGACAGGTGGATAACTTAATGTCCATTATGGAATATCAACCAGTAATGGGTACACTGTACTGGAAACTGGATTGTTTAGTGCCCTGTGGGCTCATGTATGATCTGATGTTTCCACAATGCTGTGCTTAGGTATGACGCCAGTAGATGGTACCCCTAGCCAGCCTTACTCAGACTGCTACCCGGTGGTTATCGACGGGGCCATGGTCGGCTGGGTGGAGAAAGACCTCGCACCTTCCCTGGCCAACACTCTTCGGAGTTTCAAGGTGAGCCAAGGTCCCTCGTCCTGGCAGAAGGGTGTCTCTTCTGAAGTGTCATTTAGAAACTGAGCCCTCGAGCCCCCCCTGCAGGTGCTGAAGCAAAGGAAGGTCCCTCCTTGGATGGAGATCGTTCTGGTGCCGCACACAGGCAAAGCCAGCATTTATCCCAGCCTGCTGTTTTTCACCACCCCCAGCCGGATGGTACGACCCGTCCATAACGTGACCCTGGGCAAGCAAGAGCTCATCGGCACCTTTGAGCAGGTATGATAGTAGTAATGTAGTTGCTTGTTGACACAGCTGTTGACTAGACAAAAGTGTTCTGTGTGTGAATTTTACCTATAAAATTTCTTGTAAAGATGATGATATACAAGGGCAGCTGTTTGAGCAACGTTGCTGACCAATGTCGCTTGGGTGTTTTCCCATTGATAGTGGGCAACAAATTTCAATTTGAAAAACGAATTGGCAGTGGGCAACATTTTGCGACCATCCAGATTCCAGATGAGTTGCCCTTTGTCCCACCTGGTTGGCAATTGCCCAACAACATTTCTCAAAAGGTTACCCTGTGTATCACCTTTGCATCTTCTGCTAATCCACTATGCAGTCATTCTTCCTGCAGACTGTATGAAATAAAGCATAGGCCATCTTGGAGTTTATATTAGAAAGGCATGGTTTATGTCCACTGCAAAGATGTTGACCTGGAATGTAGAGATGGTCTGGGTAGTAATGTCAAAGCTAATGACTCTCCCCTCAGCTCTTCATCAACGTGGCTATATTTGAGAGTGAGATTGAGCCGGGAGTGACTACACATCAGGAACTGTTCCCCCACAGTATGCTGAGTGTGGTTGCCAACTTCATCCCCTTTTCTGACCACAACCAGAGTCCCAGGAACATGTACCAGTGTCAGATGGGTAAGTCTGCCACCATGTGGATATTTGTTGTACTGCAGGAGACTGAAGGTTATATATAACTATTGACATTGTCATAAAGCTCATGAATGTTGATAGTGATGCTGCTTTCAGTGTGTAATTTCAGGTAAAATTTATGCTAGGATGTTGAATACTTTTACCTTTGTTGTGATTTGGCTAATAACATAATTGACATAGAAAACTCGCCCTCTTCCTTGTCGCTTGGGCAGAAGCACCTGGCCCTGATTGGGATGCCATGCCCTGGTGTCTCCGGCTCTGTCAGCTGAAAGCCTGATGCCTCTTCACCTTCCTCGACTGTTCTCATGTTGTACTTCTGATCCTTGAATAGTCTTTTTCGCTTCTTGCCTTGTTAGGATGATGATGATGTGTAGCTCTTGCTCCAGTACTGCGTACGCTTGTTCCTCACCATTCATTCGAAGCTTAGCCTAGTTGGACAATCCTCCGTTTCTAAACTAGATGTCCTGGTTGCTGAGCTTCTTGGGAATTTGACCATAGTACTTCTTTACACTTCTTTTGGACTCTTCCCCCCCCCCCAGGCAAACAGACAATGGGCTTTCCGCTGCATTCGTACCTGGACCGTACCGACAACAAATTGTACCGTCTGCAGACACCCCAGAGTCCCATAGTCCGGCCCTACATGTACGATCATTACAACATGGACAACTATCCAATCGGCACCAACGCCATCGTGGCAGTCATCTCGTACACAGGCTACGATATGGAAGACGCCATGGTGAGGGACCGGCTGCTCTTTACTCTAATTGAGTGGATTTTGGACTATTCGATTTATCCTTGTTTGGAACATGGTCCTGGTTTACAAGTCACTAGGATCTTTATGAGAAATACGCACAGAAGACGCAGAAAGTTCGTAGGTTAGACTTCACACACAATTTCATACGAAACTACACCGCCACCCCAAGACAGTCGTTTTATTAGTTATTTGTTAGTTACTGGGGGGATCGATCACGATCAAAATGGGACATTTACATTTTACTTGTATGACCTGCGACATGTTCATGATTCTTATTGAATCAGGCCAGCAGATCCATTTTTTGTTTTACACAAAATAATAAATGTAACTTTGTCCTGCTGATACGTGCTGGCAAGTTTCACCAGCAATATTAGACGAAAGTATGTTGGTTGGCGACTGAATTTTCTGATGCAGAAATATGGAGAAGTAAAAAAATGTACTAAGTGATGCATTAAATGTAATTGGGATACAAAAATAATTCCCTCTGCTCAATTTTTGCTTCTATTTCTCTGCATTTCCATGTAACTTTCAAGTTAGCACCGGTGCTTGTGGTCAACCAGTCAGCAGGCTATCTGTAAGCACCACTCCAGTAGTTTGTGTTCCAAAGAAAAGTACAGAGTCTGGAGTTTAGTTTCTGATACTGCCTCCAAGGAACTGCAATCAGGCTTCCTGTGGTGTGAACATGAGAAAAGTCCCTGGTTCTGGAAAAAGGTTCTGGTTCCAGAAAAAAGTTCCGGCAGTGTGAAAGCATTTTAAGACTAACATAGTTACTAATCTGCTCAGCATTGCTGTTTCTGATGAACTCTGGTGAATATTTGTAGTGATAGTATAAAATATGATTAATATAAGTGCAGAAGCGTTCAAATCCAAAATTCCTCCATTTCCTCCAGATTGTGAACAAGGCATCGTGGGAGAGGGGTTTTGCCCATGGCTGTGTGTACAAGACTGAGCTGCTGGACCTGAAGACCAAGATGAAGGATGTTGATGGCCTGGTGTTTGGGGTGAAACCTGGTGACCCCAAGGTGATGGACAAGCTGGACTCTGACGGCCTTCCTCCTGTGGGGTCTGTGCTGCAGTATGGAGACCCCTACTACAGCTGCATCAACCTCAACACCGGCCAGAGCTTTATCACCTACTACAAGTCAGTTTATATGCCCTTCAGTGGATTTTTATTACTTGTGTCTTTACTGGCATGTTATCTTTGGGTGCCCCATACTAGGCATGTGCATCTCCATCACTTAGGCCAATGCCATACACATCTTGATGCAACGATCCAATATATTAGAGATGCCTATGAAATAACTACTAATGCGATTCAATATGATTCACCCCTATTGTAATGCAGTGCAATCCGACACAATGCTATTCAATGCGATATGATGCAATGCAAAAAAAAATAATGCTGTGCAGTTTAATATGGTACAGATAGTTTAATATTTATTCTTTGGTTGTTCTAAAAACAGTGCCATTTTCACTCCAGATATTTGTCTCTCCAGTAACGCAGCATTTTAATTTTTTTTTTATAAAAAAGGCATCTTACCTTTAGTCTTGAAAGAGATGAGGGATATTATTAGCCAACCTTTGACTTTAATATTCCAGAAATCGTTATCTGCGGGTGTGGTACCATCAGATTGGAAGCATGCTAATATAACACCCATATTCAAAAAAGGGGATAGAAGTAATCCGGCAAACTATAGGCCAATCAGTTTAACTAGCCTGGCCTGAGCGATTTTTTGTGTTGAAGAAAACGAGCGAAGGGAAGTGCTGTGGCATAACTGCAGAGGTGTAAAGAGTACCTGAAAACCATACTTGAGTAAGAGTACAGATACCTTACTGTATAAATTACTCCATTA